ACTTATTAGAGAGCCTAGATGAAGCTAACATAGCTCTCACCCCCTCTAATAAAGTTCTAACCATCCTCTCAGCAACCCCATCCGGTTGGGGTGTGGAGGGAACAGATTTATGCATAGAAATACCCCACGTACCACATAAATCTCTAAGTTGATCATCACAGAAATCAAAACTGACAGTGGTCCTTAAAAAATTTATTTTCTTACCGGTTTGTTTTTCAACAAGGGTTTTCCAGTTTTTAAACTTATCAAAAACTTCAGATTTATTTTCAATTAACAAAACCCACACTTTCTTTGAAAAATCATCAATCAACGTCAGAAAATAATTTTTCCCACCATGAGTGGAAACACTATAAGGACCACACAAATCAACATGGATACAATCAAGCACATCAGTACACTTAGGCAGATCAAGAAAACTAACCCCTAGACTGTTTTCCTAGCACACATGATCGCACACAAATCACGGAATCAAGTACGGGTTCAACATGACAAACATACAAGTTGTTTTTCATCTCAACTTTGAAAACAACTAAACAACCTTTCACAACTTTCATGATTCTCTTTCCTCATTTTCTCTTCAAACCCTCATTTTCAAGAGAAGCACAAGATAGCAAATTACAACACAACTCAGGAACATGCCTAACATTTTTCAAAGTAAGCACATAACCAGAAGAGAACCTAAGGCACACATCTCCTATTCCTAGCACATTGCATTTGTTCTCATTTGCTAAAGACACAAAGCCATTTTCAATCTCTCTATACTTTGAAAAAACATTTTTCAATGGGGACATGTGAAAACTACAACCAGAATCTACCACCTAATCTGATTTAACCAAAGAATCAGATATCACAGAACTTAAGCAGTCAAAACCACATAGATTACTCATCATAAAAACATCACCTAAATCATCTACACGCGTAGTCAAATTAGCATGATCACTATGCTTATTTTCCCTAGATTTAGGACAGTCTTTTATGAAATGACCAAGTTCAAAACAATAATAGCAACGCCTCGAATTAGACCTAGACTTAGATCTATGACGTCTACTATTATTTTCTCTACCCCTCACATGCATAACCTCCTCGAATATAAAAAGCAACTTTAGCATATGAAAACAGAAAATAAAGTGCATATTAATTCAACAAAAAATCATATAGGGCCATTAGTGAGACCTATTTGGCTTCCGATACGGAAGAGAAAAAAGCAGAAATGAATGAAAATGCTTGTTCTACAATTTACTTGAACTTATCTGATTGTGTGCTCACAAAAGTAGGAATTTTAGAATCAGCTAAATCTGTGTGGAATAAACTTGAAGAGCTTTATAACGTAACCTCTTTGCCTAACCGGATGTTTTTACTTGAAAAGTTTTTCAAATTTAGACTGGATATGTCTAAGGATATTGAAGAAAATCTAGATGTTTTTACCAAACTTATTTCGGATATTAAGTTGTGTGGTGATAAGCATATAGATGATTATTCCCCTATTGCCCTTTAAATGATATTCCTGATTTCTTTAGTGATGTGAAATCTGCTATTAAGTATGATAGAGATAATGTGACTCTTGACATTGTGGTCTAGCCTAAAGTGGTGAGTGTGAGTCTAGCTAAATGGTTGGAGACCTGAGCCGGAAGACAAATCGATCCACAACAATTGGGAAAATAAAAAGGAGGAAAACGAAATATTTTTCAATTAGGCTTCGAAGGTTATAGAGTTTAATCTAGATCAGGACAACATTCAGTGCGTATGGGCGATCTATATGTGTGTATTTGTGTGTGGGTGGAGATAACATAGCTGATCAGAAATGGAGGATTTATATGAGTGCGGACTATTTTGGTTGGAATTTATAGGTCGGCAGTCGGCTGAACAAATTAAAGGAATGACAAGTGTGGAAGTGGATAGTTTGTGTAGGATTTGGACAGATACAAAGAAGGAAAATGGAAGTCTAATGTAGCTTTAGTGGGCTGAAAGTAGAATGACTTCAATCTATTACGTGGGATGGGCAATACATTTACGCACACGGCACATGGGGCTTTTTAAACATGTACGTGTTAATAACACATCCTATGCCCACTATTTTTTAGATTTCCTCTTAAAAATGTAGAACTTATGAAAAGGGTGTTTAGAGGGTGTTTGGATTTGATTCTCAAAGTTGTTTATGCTCTTTCAGGTGCAGAAGCAAAAGTTAGAGTGTTTGGGTGAAAATACAGAAGTGATTTTAGTGCTCTAATTTATTCTTAGAATCAGTTTTTTTTATAAACTGACCAGCTTCTAAAATTGATTTTGGTTCTGATTCTGCTTTAAAAAAGAAGAAGCATAATAACTTCTAAACACCCCTAACTTGTGAAATATACGAAGTAGTTATTATGCTCTATAAACTTTGTGAAATATTTTTAATCGGACTTATGGTCCAATTCTCTTAGGTAATAGTTATGTTTCTTAATCATTTTATACAAAATTGTGTGATCAATAAATCTCAAACCCGTTCAATAACATCAAAATTGATTGAACTTTTTGAAATTGGTGAAATATTAGTTGAAATGACTGAATTGAGTTAATCTATTAAAATGATTATGTACATTGACCTCAGCATAAAATAAAAGTAACTCAAATTATATAATTTAGTGTTCTTAATAAAAAATTAGATGTTTGATAAAAATAAATGAAATATTTGGAGGAAATGAGAAGTGAAATAATGATTAGACACGAAGGACAACATTATACGGAGTATTAGAAAACGAATGAGTTTCATGGAGTTAATTGCTTTAATAAGATAAAATGGCCTCATTTATTTCATGGAGTTAATTGTGCATTAGATTGCGGAAAAAATTCAATATGACAAGCTAATTTGATAAAGTAATAATCCCAACAGCACAAGTATTTTCTGTTTAATTTGTTTAAATTCATTTAGAATCCGTTTGGTAACACCTATGTTCGGCTTATCAGGTTTATCAGCTAGCTTTTTATTCAAACACGTAACTTTTGATTTCGCGCGCTGAAATGTGTAATAATAATAAGAAAAAGTAAGGTTGAAGTTATTTTGTTGCTGTTTCGCCTTAGGTTACTGTGGGGCGGGGGGGGGGGGGGGGGGGGGCATTTTAACTATTTTCACATATAATTTTTTTCTTCATTTTATTTATAAAATATATTTTGAATTTAATATTTTCATAAATTAGCGTAATCAACCAATACAACCACTTAAGCCAGAACTTCATAAATTTCAACAGAATCAACTAATTCAGCTGGTTTTATTGTTACCAAACGGACTCTTAAAATAATCCGTAAATATTGGGAGTAATGAATTTGTGACCACATTTTTTAATTATACTTTTAAATATAGAAATATTATCTAATCTTCTCATTTAACATTTGAATTGCTTAAAAATATTAATGTACATATGTGCTACAATGACATTCTTTGAGTTATTTCTTTTTCTTTAAACTTTTATAAAGTAAATGCATTTCTTATAAAATATATTCATCCCCTCCTAACCAAGCTGTAATGACCGTCCCCAAAACGGCCATTACGATACTCAACCATAAAAGAGACTCGATAAACCAAGCAGAAATAAAGATACAAAGCCTCGAGCTCAGACTATTTCTTTTAAACATAATCAAAACCTACAACCATAACGAAAGACATGCAAAAGAAAACACATTTAAAACCGTTACACCTGATCAGGATTTTAAAACGTTTAACAACCCTTTGAAGTACCAACGTACTAAAACAACAATATAACCGATAGCCCGATCTTCTCCGTTAACCCATCCAAAACCTTGTCACCGGCTCCATACATTCTCTCAGGCTTCCGTACTTCGCTTATTACCTATACATGAGGACATAGGAGAATAGAATTCTCGTAAGCAATAATGCTTAGTAAGTCACCATTTTATCCACTAAAACATTTAGGGAATCTTAGCTAATCATAAATAGATACTCATGCGGAATACACCACACATATACTATAATCACACATGATAACCACACATAAGCATTCATGTATCAAATATCCGGAGATTTCCTTATTCATCATTCTTTCTTCTTATCTTATTCCCTGACTTGATGGGCCCGTAGCTCGTGTCCTAGCCCCTCGCTGATGACCTCGGGTAGCTAGCCCTCAGCCATCAGAAGCAACCCCGGGACTCCCCGCGGAAGGAGATCCCGCTACGCTCAGCTCAGGTAGTTACTTGGGGGCACGGCTACCTTATAACATTACTTATCTTTCATTACTTTCATTATCATCATAACTTCCTTTCATTGTTGGTTCCATATGAACCCAACCCCAAAATCAAACATAGAACTTGAAATTCACATATCTCATGTCATACAATTTCAAGTATTCATGCGCATACATCACATTCATAATTAGCTAATATCCCACACTTTATTTAGAACTATATATCATGTATAGGTGGTGGCGACTTACCTTATAGAAGCTGAACTCAAATTACTCAAATAAGTGTGGCACTTTGATAACGTCTTCCGGTAAGCTCTTCTTTGAAATCTTTAATTAGATACAATAAAATAGTTATCATCTTATGTCTTAAACCATATTAAACTACGGAAATCTTTTGCTACAGCTATGCAGCCATTTGTAATAAAATTGACTAGTTTATTCATGTAATGCAATGCTTAAATGCATATAAGGTTAAGGAAATCGTTGTTTGGTGCTACTGTAATGACTATAAAGTTTCCTTCTAGCTGAGATTACAAGCAGCCCTCTCTTCAAAAACTCTCGCCAAACAAATATGCCTCAAACACATACACCATAGAAAATTTTAAAAGAAAACCCCACGGATAGTAGAAATAGAATATGGCTGCAACAATGAAATTCAATTGCCCTATTAACTGAACACAAGACTGATGCCCAACATTGAAATAGAATCCATGCGTTAGAAAATTGAGAAAGTACTTATCTGAAGGTTTAAATCTCTTAAAATCAGAATTAGGTGATGCTATAAGACATAAAATGTCCAGCTGCCTGGGTTTTAACAACTTAGCACCAAAATTAAGTTTTGTCTTTGAATCCTACTTTCCAGAATTCCAAACGGACAACAATAATAGAGTATATTTATGGAGTTAATTTGTAATTTGTAAAACTCTGATTCATTATAAATATAACTGGAAGGGCTACCTATTGGTAAGCCACTTCTATTATTTCACATGGTAATATGGTATACTATCGTATATCAGACCACTAGGTTTTTCTCCTCAACCCTAGCCTACTCACGTACTTCTTCCTCCGTACAATGGCGTCTTCCGCTTCCTTACCAGCGTCGACGTCCATAGGAGCTTCAAGTTCCATGACTTCTTCTGGCTCCATGGCTTCTTCTACATCCACGTTCCCTGTCTCCAGCACTGTCATTCAGTCTTATGCGGCTTCTTCTTCGCCAATTTCTGTGCGCCCCAGCTCCTCCTCCGTATCTGGGTTTCCGCCGCCATTCACGTGGACTCCATCTTCCCCGGCAGTTTTCCCTTCTTCTCTCGCCTCGGGTTCCATGCAATCGTTGTTCAATGCTCTGCCTCAGCTTGACATTGCTCCTCCTCTTCATCTACGACTGGGTTCTTCCTCCGCGTCCTCTCAATTCAGCGGACCAACCCTTGCAGGCTCTCCAGGTATTTTGCCGACTTTCTCTCCAGCGGTTCAACGCCCCCCTCTTCTGCAGCAACAGTCATCCTCTATCTCTGCTATTGCTCAAAATTTGGGTTATTCTACACACAACGTTACTGCCATTGTCACTACAAAATTGTTGGCCATTGAGGATTATCTTCCTTGGAGGACCCAATTCGAGTCTTTCTTAGTTTCTCAAGGATTGCTCGGTATCATCGACGGCAGCCTACCCGCCTCTCCGTTGTATGTGGCTGATTCCTTCAACATCCAATCTATTCATCCGGGTTATTATCATTGGCTGCGTCTTGATCAAACAGTCCGGTCTTGGATTTTCGCTACCTTATTCCGTGACCTTCTCATTGATGTCCATGATATAAAAAATGCAGCCCAAATTTGGGAACGACTTCAGTCCCGGTTCATGTCCGCTAGCTTGAATCGCTCCTTGGAACTCAAGAGGATGCTCTCTCATATGAACTTATGAAGAAAAAGCCTAAAGTGACTATGGAGCAATATGTCCGGGAAATCAAGACCATAGCGTCCTCGTTGGCGTCCATCAATTCTCCCGTCTCAAATAAAGAACTTATCCAAACTACTCTTTTGGGTTTGGGTCGGGCATATGAATCATTGATCACCAATATTTCTCTTTTCCCTGGTCAACTTACGTTTGATGACCTCGGCACCATCCTAGTTGAGCAAGAAAGCCGCCTGGAATATCTTTACAGTCAAGAGGCAGACTTTGGTCAACCTGCTTTTGCTACTTCTTCCACTTCTGGAGGACCAAAATCTGGCCGTGGGAATTTTTCTGGACAACAGCGTGGCAGGGGAGGTCGTGGCCTATGTGGAGGGCGTGGGCGTGGAGGTCATGACAGGGGCCGACCGACAGTTTATGGTCCCACTGGTACGCAACATGGCACCAATAATGCGGGTCACTCAGGTACTGTTTTATGTAATTCTGACATTTTATATTCTTATACTGGTTCCTCTTCCATGCTTGGTACTCATATGTCTTCTGCATGTAGGTATCTTCCACCTTCTTTCTTGGAAGTTGCCAAGAGACATATAACACCTTCTAGGAAGGAGGTATCAAACACATGAACATGGAGAAGATTTCTTGGAGATAGCTAGGAAACTCCCTAGCAATGAGAATGGAAGCTTGGATGCAACTTCCTCATGTCTCCCATATACACCTATAAATAGAGAGTGTATTGTTGTTCATTGTATCAGTTTAGAAAGTGGAAAAAGTGTGTGAAGAGTGAAATACACTTAGAGTAGAATTGTATTGGTGAGGATTGGTTTTTGTAATAGTTGAGTGTGAGAGTTTGCTCCTCCTATTGTAATTCTGTTCTTGATATTGAATAGAAGAATTTTCCAATCCCAACAAGTGGTATCAGAGCGAGGTTGAGTTTTCATACACTGTTTTCTCATTTTCAGATAAATTTCTACAGGTTAGAAAATCGTGATTTTTCAAGTTGCTCGGAATCACGATCTGATCATACCGTTAGATTCATCTCGTCGAGACGAGAAATCTGGTATTTTTGGGAAATTTTTTGGCCACCGGAAGAGGCCGTACGCGCCGCCCAAACACGCCGGAAAACTGCCTGCGTCATCATTGCGTCATCACGCAGTCCAGAGGAAGAAGACGAGCCACGTCAGCCGCCGCGTCAGCCGCCACGCCAGTCCACGTAAGCGCCACGTCATCCGCCACGTCAGCCGTGCAAGCCATCCTCTAGGTGCCACGTCAGCGCCACGTCAGTGACACGTGGCGCCACGTCAGCGCCAGCGCAGAGCCAGCTGTTGCCACGTCATCCACCTGCTGGTCTGCTCACTGGGTTGCTGCCTGAACCGGACCGAACCGGTTCGTACTTGTGGAGGCCGGTTCACCCATTTTCAGACCGGGTTCCTACCATTTTCGGCCATTCCGGATCCAACGGTGAGCTCCGTTTGTCCAAATTCGGCTCCGAAAATAAGGTAAGAGATATTTTGAGCGTTTTATTATGGATAAATCATCATCGGACACCATGATTGCGCTCACTTCCACAAATTACAATATGTGGAAGCCTCAGATGGAGGATTTGCTAAATTTGAGGGATTTAGCTGATCCTCTTGATAATAATGGCGTGAAACCGGATAAAAAGACGGATGAAGAATGGACAAAAATGAATAGAAAAACTGTCACACAAATTCGGCAGTGGATCGATCATAGTGTGTTCCACCATGCTGCGCAAGAACAAAGTGCTTACACACTATGGGAGAAGCTTGGTAGCATGTATCAAGCAAAAACCGCCCGAAATAAGACATTACTAATGAGGAGATTAGTAAACCACAAGTTACGAGGAGGTATTTCGGTGTCAGAACACACCAGTCAATTCCAGGATCTTGTGAATCAGTTGAGCACCACCAGATGGGTTCTCAAAGATGAAGAGCATGCAATACTACTCTTGAGCTCTCTACCTGACAGCTGGGAGACTCTTGTTGTCACTCTCAGCAATTCTGCTCCCAATGGCAAAGTGACTATGCAGATGGTCACAGATGCCCTTATGAACGAAGAAGCCCGAAGAAAAGAAGCCGGGACTGAAAAATCATATGCCTTCGTGTCAGAAACCAACAGACGAGGGGGAGGCAGAAATGGAGGAAGAAGTCGAGGTCGAGGTAAAGGCCAAGGTCAAAACAGAGGAAATTCTCAAGTTCGCGGCCGATCACAAGAACGAGGTATGTCCTGTGAAAACAATACTTGGTTTGAAGGATATTGCAACTATTGTGGTAATTATGGGCATAGAAAAAGAGATTGTAGAAAGTTTCTACGAGAGCAGCCACAGACGAGTCAAAATACTAGCCAAGAAGATGGTGTGACTATGGTTAGTTTGTCATCAGACGTGTGTCTTGTTACACATGGTGAACAAGAATGTTTACACGTAGGTACTCATGATGTTGAGTGGGTGATTGATACAGCCGCATCATTTCACGCCACTCCACACCAGAATTTATTCACATCTTATAAGTCCGGGGACTTTGGAGATGTGAAGATGGGAAACACCAGTTTCTCGAAGATTGTTGGCATTGGTGATGTGCACATAACAACCAATGTCGGATGCGCACTTGTGTTGAAAGATGTTCGACATGTTCCGGATCTTAGATTGAATCTCATCTCCGGTACAGCTCTGGATCAACAAGGATATCTTAACAGATTCAAAGAAGGTACGTGGAAGTTATCTAAAGGTTCTTTGGTTGTTGCAAGATGCCATATTTGTGGTACTCTTTATAAAACTCATACAAAGTTGTGTCATCCGAGTCTCAATGCTGTTGAAGAAGATATATCACCAAACTTGTGGCACCAGAGGTTACGCCACTTGAGCGTGAAGGGATTGACAACTCTTGCTAGGAAGGAAAGGATTTCCATGGGCAAAGGTGTTGCCCTAGATCCATGTGAGCACTGTCTATTTGGGAAACAACACAGGGTTTCCTTCAGTTCTACCAGGAAGAACCATACAGAGTTACTCAGTCTTGTACACTCTGATGTATGCGGACTCATTGAAGAGGAGTCACTTGGAGGAAGCAAGTATTTCGTGACATTCATTGATGATGCATCACGAAAGGTATGGGCTTATTGTTTGAAGAGTAAGGATCAAGTGTTTGATCGCTTCAAATTATTTCATGCCATGGTAGAAAGAGAAACAGGGAAGAAGCTGAAGTGTCTACGTTCAGACAATGGAGGAGAGTACACTTCCCGAGAGTTCTCAGCATATTGCGCTGCATACGGAATCAGACATGAGAAGACGGTTCCACGAACTCCACAACACAATGGTGTAGCTGAAAGAATGAATCGGACCATTATGGAGAAAGTTCGTTGCATGCTGAGTATGGCTAAACTACCTAAGCCATTCTGGGGTGAAGCTGTGCTGACAGCTTGTTATCTTATAAACAGGTCACCTTCTGTTCCTTTAAACTTTGAAGTGCAAGAGAAGAAATGGTCAAGAAGAGATGTTTCTTACTCTCACTTGAAAGTGTTCGGGTGCAAGGCATTTGCACATGTGTCCAAGGAGTTGAGACAGAAGCTTGATCTCAAGTCAAACCCATGTATCTTCATCGGCTATGGTGATGAAGAATTTGGATACCGGTTGTGGGATCCCGAAGTGAAAAAGTTGTACGAAGCAGAGATGTTGTATTTCATGAAAACGAGTTTCATGGGTGTGTTCCAATAATCCGCCAACAACATACTCTAGAAGACGAAGTGCCTGTATCATTAAACATTCCTCTCAGCGACGAGGAGATGCATGATACCACTGAACAAGAGAGTGATGGTTCAGTAGGTGATGATGATACTCACAGTGATGATATTCCTCAGCAGGGGGAGCCTTCATCTGAAGACGAAGCTGAAGGTACTCATGTTAGACGTTCTATGCGAGACATAGTTCCACATAGAAAGTATTCCACATCCAAATGGATACTTGTTGCTAGCGAGGGGGAGCCTGCGAGCATCGCAGGAATGAGAGAAATAAAGAAAAAGGTGGATGGAGAGATTTGTATGTATCTTCCACATTCTTTCTTGGAAGTTGCCAAGAGACATATAACACCTTCTAGGAAGGAGGTATCAAACACATGAACATGGAGAAGATTTCTTGGAGATAGCTAGGAAACTCCCTAGCAATGAGAATGGAAGCTTGGATGCAACTTCCTCATGTCTCCCATATACACCTATAAATAGAGAGTGTATTGTTGTTCATTGTATCAGTTTAGAAAGTGAGAAAAGTGTGTGAAGAGTGAAATACACTTAGAGTAGAAGTGTATTGGTGAGGATTGGGTTTTGTAATAGTTGAGTGTGAGAGTTTGCTCCTCCTATTGTAATTCTGTTCTTGATATTGAATAGAAGAATTTTCCAATCCCAACACTGCAGGCTCTCCATCAGCTAATGGCATTTTAGGTTCCGTCCTTCCCCAATCATGTGCCAAATTTGTTTCTCCCCAGGTCATTCCGCTGCATCTTGCCCCTCTCGTTTTGTTCCGTCCAATGCGCCAGCACTGATTGTTCCCTCCGGTGAGACTAATGATGCTCTGTGGTATCCCGACTCGAGAGCTTATGCTCATATGACCCCTGCAGCAGGTATTTTGTCAAATAAATCTCCTTACTCTGGCCCTGTTCAGGTCAGGCCAGCCAAATTTAAAACTCAAGAAGCCTAATCCAAATATATGTATATATATAACTAAGAACCAGACCTTAGCAGCGATAATTGTTCGGCCAAAACAGCCTCCCGTTTTGAAAGTAAATTTAAAATCACGAGAGTAAAACCCTTAGCAAGTTAAGAACCATTCTCTTTTTTATGTGAATAGTGTTCTCTTTTTTAAACCAATGGGAACACACCTAGTTGCATTAGATTTTCTTGCGCACTTTTATGTGAACTATTCCCACCTCTTTTTTTGACCATAGGAACACAACATACTCCCTCCGTCCCGTTAGAAGGTTCCCACTTCTTTTTTGGACATCCCATTAGAAGGTTCCCATTTCCATTTTAGGAAACTATTAACAATCTTAAGTAACAAATTAGTCATTAAATATTAAAAATAATACATTTATAACATCACACTTATTAATACTAACACATTATAATATATACCTATTAAAATTATTTCTCAAAATATACATGAATTACTTTATTTAATTATCACCTAAATAACCGTGCCGTTTTGCTATGAGAACCTTCTAGCGGGACAGAGGTAGTACTTGATTTGTAATTATTTTTGAAGAAAAAATAAAATAAAATTTGATGTTGACACTTCTAGGCGGGAACACTGTTCATCAAATTTCTTTAGCTTATATATTAGAATAGATTTCCACCACATATTTTTATCAAATCTAGTGCATTGTTGGCTTATTTTGAATCACTAAATCCCGAATTGAATGCACAAGATTAATTCGTACTTTGCATGAAAATGTCTCTTTATATTTGACACTTTACATATACATGTGTGCGCGCACGAGACTATAAACATTACTAATACACTTTTATTAAATATTAATGGTCAGGTGCTATTTTAGGTGCACCCACAAGCACACCCAAGGGTGCAAAGCAACAAAGAGTACCAAACCACATACTTTGGTAACCACACCTGCAAAGAGGACCCATATTATGCTCCCAATCAACTACAACCAGAAGAGGAAGAGAATGAACATTCTTCTTCCTCCAAATATTATCACAAGGAAGATGAATCTTTAACTGTTTCTGGATCGGATGAGTCATCACTACTTCCTGAAGAAATGATCCAATTTAATCCTCAAGGAGCTAATAACAATGTTAATAACATTGAGTCTCATAGCTGCTTCGAAAATCTGGACAATATTCTCTCAAAAAATCTGAACAATATTCTCTGGTCGGATGAGATGTTACTCCTCAATTTCTTAGACAACCAATCATCGACAATATGTATAAATGTGTCATGTGTGTGTTTGTTTGTCTATAATCTAGACACACACATACATTAATTCTCCTACATACAGTGGTAAAAAAATTAATAATGTACAAAAGTAGTTAATTAAGTTCTTACTTTTGCATATTGTTCTGAATTTATTCTTATTCATGAATAATATTGAATGATCTCTAATCTCTTTGATTATAAGCACACTCCCAAACACTCACATTAAGGCTATGTTATAGGAGTATAATCGTTTAAGCTCAAAATAAACAGAGATATGATCAATCGAGGCAATTAAGTAACATATAGTTTTGATTGTATAAACTGTTGAATTTGATTGGATCTAAAACTAATGAGCTGATTTAAAACGTTACTAGTTTTAGCGTTTAAGTTCCGCCCCTAAATTTACATCATCAATCGTGTGTATGTCAACTTCATTTTTTCCTTGTTATGAAAACATTTATTTTATGGCAATTCACATTTTGCAATTGTTATTTCTATCTATGTAACTAAACTAGTCTATTTGACTCGATCTGTAAGGTTTCATATTTCAATTTCACCAATTTTGGTCCTTCGTCAGATAGTAGCTCTTAAATCATACGGAGTACAATAATCTTTCACTTCAACCCGTTCTTCCAAAATTCACCTAAAAATGTATTTACTTGCTACATACTAATGTATTTTCAGAAATATTGTTATTACTTGCAACGTTTTCTACTTTTCACATGTTTCATACTTTTCTATCTCATCTTATATGCTTTATACATTTTTCTACATCATTCTGCTTCTATTAAACATATACCGGTGTAGTACTAAGTTAAAATATCCAAATTCTAGTACTAAGTTAAACATATACCGGTGTAGTACTAAGTTAAAATATCCAAATTCTAGTACTAAGTTAAACATATACCGGTGTAGTACTAAGTTAAAATATCCAAATTCTAGTACTAAGTTAAACATATACCGGTGTAGTACTAAGTTAAAATATCCAAATTCTAGTACTAAGTTAAACATATACCGGTGTAGTACTAAGTTAAAATATCCAAATTCTAGTATTAAGTTAAACATATACCGGTGCAGTTCAATGTTTCTTCTATCTGCGTTTTGTCCATCCAAAAAAGATGATTTCATTCAAGAATAAACAAGTAGTTTGTACTCCCCTTATTCTTTAGTATAACTGGTCACATATTTTTATTATTTAATAAGGCCCCCAAGGCTATTAATTTGACGGGCTGAAATAGACATTCAACAAGCAATACTGCAATACTCCAGCTGGGGCCTGCGGGCAGCTTACTAGCGTTAAAACTGGGCTAAAACATTGTTATTGGGCCTTAGCCTTATCAAACCCATAAGCTATTGATTGTAGTCCTGTCATACAAAACTTGCCCACTAGAGCGGATTTCATGTATTTGTTGATTACATGCCCACTATTTTGGAGCCCGTTTCGTAGCCTATTTGATAGCACCTATTAATATTTGTTTTTTTTCAAATGTGTAACTTCTGGTTTGACACAATGAGTAATGTAATGATCAAAATAAATAAAGTTAGAGTTACTTTTCTAATTAAATTGACTAAAATTGTTGAAGCAGAATATTTGAGTTATGTTTCCATATTTCTTTTTTTATTTTCTTAATAAAATATATATAGTCTTATAATTTCTTCTTCTTTAATAATCAACAATCGGTTTAGCTTTAATTTCACCAATTTCAATTTATTCAACCAATTTTAGTGTAATCAAACACACTCTCTATATTTGGTCATCAAAAGCTAACACACTATTCATCATCTCATAACTAGATGTCCCATTTGAATCTGGGCAAATAAACGTTCCTAACCAATGTAATTTGGACTTATTCTGACCTATTAGGTTTAAATTGATCTGGTTATTCGCTTGGGAAGGTCATAACCAAAGTCCAAATTGTTTATGCCCATTTGAGTGACCCCAATTGAATAATGAAATATACCAATATTTTTGTGTATACAACTCTAACTTCCCATATCTACTTCCACGCTTCTCACACGTTAACACTCTCTGGCAGGAGACTTCTTAGTTCATAAAGAAAGACGTGTTCTTTCTTTCTACTTTTTGCTGGCCTTCCCTACCCAACTATTTTAATACTAATTCTCCCTCTTCTACATACATTCACATAACCACTTACAATATCGTACTCCAAAAGGTGCAACCAAGAAGGCAAGAAGACCGAGTTGAAAGAGAAAAAGGTAGATTCATAATCATTTTTGGCTTTTATTCTGAAACTAATTTCAAGATTCCATGATGGGTAGTTTTGATTTTTGAAGCTGAGATCTGGGTATTCATTATTTTCAGAAAATAAGGTCAAAGAAGACTATGGGTCACAACCACCACCACCACGGCGGCGGCAGAAGACGAGATGATGATCCATTAGTGGCATGTTGTTGCTGCCCTTGTATGGCAGTCTCCTCTGTGTTTTCCATGTTTGGAAGGTGTATGTTTGTTGCCTGTTATCCTTTACTTCAGTGCTTTGGATGGGATGAGCATAGGCATCACCACCACCATCACCAGCATTTCTATTAATTAATTGCACGTATATTTTCTCTTTCCAATTTCTTAACTTCAATTGTGAGGGTGTCTTGAATCATAGTTCTGGTTTTTTGTGTTTGCTAAAAGTGATATGAAACATGTAAGATCAATGATTTTTTTATTTTATTTGGTGGATCACTATCACATCTATTGCTCTTCTGTCTTTCTTTTTTATTTATTTCTCTTCACAAAGTATGGACTAATTAATTCCTTTAATTATCTGGAGAATTTGAGTTATATTTATTCTCCTAAAGGTTAAATCTCCAACCCTAAGCGCTCTCACACCCGACCCGACGGAGCATATGAAACATTATATACAAACAGAGAATTTCAGTTAAATTGAATATATTTGTGGCTTGTGAGTGTGGTCAACCATATTTTGATTAATCATCATGATCATATTTCGATTAATCAATCTTCAAATGAGGTTTCAATGATTAAAATTTTAATATTATTACTCATATCATATTATCGATTTACAACATATCGGTTAACAAAACTCTCTCTCTACGGTTCAGCCGCTAGGGTTAACTTTCTCGCTCTCGGACTTTCCGAGGTGCGGCCGTTTTGAGTTCTATAGCTCCGGGTAGCTATTTTATGTTCTCGCGTAGCGACTGCAGGGCAACACACGAAGGACGAATTTGCTGTCTTCTCCGGCGGCGGAAGGAAGGAGGAAGGTCGTGACTTCTGTAGTGGGGCTTCGCGGCGGAAGGAAGGACGAAGACTTCTTTCACGACAAAGCAGTCTCGAGGAAAAACAACGCAGCAAAAAGTCAGTAGTTTGATGGAAGACGTGGTGCATCATTACAAACAAATGACTATTGGGGATGATAAGGAAGAGGTAATGTTTGACGAGGAAGAAGAGGGAGAGGAATCGAACAAGAGCACGGCGCGCTGATTTCCCAGTGGTAGGTTTAATTCTGATTGATCGTAAGATCAAATTTCAATTTTTCAAAGAATTGATGGCCTCGCTGTGGAGACCAGTTAAAGGTGTTTCAATCCAGGAAATTGGCGATAAAAGGTACTCCCTCCGTCCCCTTTTAAAAGTCCCAGAAGAAGGTGGCACGAGTTTTAAGAAAGTGAGTTTGTGTGGTTGATATTAATTGATAAAGTAGGAATAAAGTAAGAATAAAGTAAGAATGATTTGGAGCCACACAAACTTTACCAAATGAGGTATGGGACATTTAAATAGGGACATCCCAATATGGTAAAATGGGACATTTAATTGGGGACGGAGGGAGTATATCTTTACTTTTTATCACATTTTAGATATGAGGTGTGTTCTGGATGAAGGTCCATGGTTGTTTGAACGGAATTTATTGTTGCTAAAAGAGATATTCCTCTATAGATTAGGCTCTATGAGGTTGATTTTTGGGTGCAAGTGCACAATTGTGCTTACAGTTTTATGAATCTGGAATCTGCTAGACGTATTGGTAATTATATTAGTAAATTCATTAGTTTTGATGATAGAAAATCTTATGAAAACTGGAAGTGACTTAAACTGGGTTGTACTCGGTCCGGTTTCGGACAGGGATCATATTTCTTTCTTCTGGCCGGCCCTAGAATCGGTTGACAATTTTTGTGAACATGTTTTCAAATCTGAAAATGAAAATTGGAAAATGAAAATGGAAACAGAATATTCGAAAATGGAAAAATTTTGTACCTCCCCACCCCCCCCCCCCCCCCCGTCTCAAATTGATTTGCAAAGTCATCATTTTTGGTTAACCAATGTTAAAGTTAAATCTTCCCTGTTGATAATTAATTCATTTTTTAATAATTAAAATTTACATATTCCGAAACTACAGTAAAATATCTTCAAAGTTGCAAACTTCAAATGAAAATATAATTAAAAGTTGACATTGTAATTAAGTGAATAAAAATGGAACTGTTTGATCAAGAAAAGTTCAATCTGCAAAAAACAATGACAATATTTGCAAGAAATGTAAAAGTAAATTGGAAGTTATTTTATAAGAACCTCTGTTCTAAAAATCATTCTAGGCGTCCGACTAGTCCCCGCCTAGGCGCTAGGCGGTGGTCGGGCGCCTTGATTTTCGCCTAGGCGCTCCGACTAATTGGTTTACCGTCTAAGTGAATTAGTCAGCCGCTTATGGTACCTAGTTGCCCACGTTAGAGCGCCTAATCAGCAACCTAGGTCATCTAGATTCGCCGAACATTACTTTACTTTGTAATTTTAATTTTCTAAGTGATATAAGTATTTTAACTTTAGCCCCGAATATAAAGAAATGAAGTTGTAAATTAAGATAAAGACCATATATGTTTGTATATATACATAAATTTTATTATTATTTATATATGTATGTGTATATATGTATTTTATACACGTAAGAATACACTATTACTTATCATATTTATGCAAAAACATGGATAAAAATGCAATTTATATGTCTCCGACTAGTCCCCGACTAGGCGCCCGCCTAGACGCCTAGGCGCTAGGCGCTGGGCTAGCGCCCGACTAGCGCCTAGCGCCTTTTAGAACATTGATAAGAACACGTTCCCTAATTGACCTAGTGGCATAA